GCGTGGCTAACTTTAAAAACATTTTTGTCCCCCTCTCCGGACGGAAATCTTGGGTACGCCACTTTTGCACTGGTGCATGGGTGTTGTCTTTTTTCGTATACTTGGAGATATGCCTAAAATCTTCCAGATCAACTGAAAGACTTTTTCCTGGCCTTCCGTAATCACCAACTCAGCTCTTTTACCTCGCAATCACAATGCGATTGTGACATTATGCTAACGAACCATCGATTGCGGATCGGAGCCGGGTCGTCGAGATGGGCAGGAGAGCTGCCATATCGGTGGGAACGATCCGCGCGATTCGAGACGAGTTTCGCACTGTAAATTACCACCCGCTGAGGGCTGCGGACACATAGCAACGACGACGACGACACGACCCGCAAAAGTACACCGCAATAAATCCAGTTGTCTCGTCTCTTTGTTAGCTGTGCTCATTGCAAACCCCCGTCATCGGAAACACATACCTTATTGTGCTTAGGTGGGGCAGATTTGGTAAAATCGCAAAGTGTACAAAGCTGATGGACCTTGGTTAGGTTCTGGCCTCGGAGCGAAGTTGTGAAGATGACAAGGGTAATCTCAGTATAGACAAGTGTGTCATATATGGTTTCTCAGTATTCACTTGTAAAGGAAGGCTTCGAGACCTTGCAGCTATATACAATACATAGGTCATGGACACTACGGTAATTTAATAGTATGAATTTCATTGACTTAGGTAGGCGCCAGACTTAACCGATTAGCCTCAGCAGGATGCGGCGCAGATATTGTTATTTGTTGTAAGGTTGGGGAAATCAAGTCGGCTTCCGCAATTTTTCTTCAACAAAAATTTCTATGTAACAATTTTATTCTCTTCTGCGAGGCCTACACATTTCCTCGAAAACATTGTTGTTGCGAACTTCGCAATACTTCGATTCTCCTCCAACGTGACACCAAACGACAGTATCTGCACCGCATCTCCATGAAGCAGCAGATCCGCTAAATCTGGCGCCTACCTAACCAACGATTTGTTCCTCTCACATATGGGTGGGCATCTTATGCTCAGCTACAACCAAGCAAGAACCCGAGAAAAGTTTACTATGCATCTCCTTTAGTTGTTCGAAAGCCAGGTCAAAGTCGCCCACAAAACGTCGGAGACTATGTGAGATATAGTGAGCTCAACATACTTCAAAACACAGTTCTTTCTTATGTTGAGTTGATCTTAGCTTTCCATATTCAACAAAAGACATATGCTGACTGCACTCGGTAGGCTTTCCAAATGTGAGCACTTTAAACTTTTTTCTTTACTGCAGTAATCTGTTTTGGATTCTTTCACGCATCTCAAATGTAATAACTTGACTATCTTACAAGATGTCTTTATTGCACTACGTTATCAAGAATCTGAAACACATTTCCAAAAATTTTGCGTGCAGTCCAAAGGATTCTTCGTTCAGTTCTACCTAAAATATCTTCTCACAATATCCGATTGGTCAACAAAGCTTCTGGAAGATTAAGTTTCTGACTGTGAGGAATCAGTTTGATGTAACTTAAAAAGGATCATGTGCAGTGCCATAGGAGCAGTTTGGCATATTATGGAGCTAACGCTGCTGAAGTTGGAATTATGTGAATCATGTTGAACAGTTGCTAAAGACGCTGAGGACCAACTAACTCCGTGCCTAACGGCATTTGAATATATCTATGATTTTGGACTTTTTAATTCGATAGCTTCGAAAAAAAAATCCCTATGCATAGTAAAATACCATTTGCAATGTCCGAAAAATGCAGTGCGATTTGAAAGATTTTTATGCAATCTAAAAACAATTTTGATTTTTTTGCAAAACGTATGCATCGATACTTTTGAAAATACCAAATATTGTCTAGTTAACTAGTTAGAGAGGGAAGGGAGCTAGCGCTTTCTGTAACTTCGTCCATTTTCTACTTTTGTGTTGTTACCACTACGTGATGAGAAGAAATAATGCATAACATTGCTAAAATCTGTGTTAATCCCCCCATTTTTCGCTCATAGCAAACAAAGGCAATAATAGAACCTCTGGAAAAGTATGATAAATTACTCAATGACGCAAGCAGCGCAGCCGGCATACCGTATGTTTGATGCAACCTCCGCAACTGTCATGCGTGCTGTATATGTTAGGAACGTTCCTGATCTTCGCGATGTCAAAAGAAAAGAAAAAGAAAAACAAGAAGAGCACTTCGTACTGATATTGAATTGTGTACCAAGTTGAGTTAGTATCTATTTTTCGTGCGTGTTCAGCACAAAAGACCGGCTTCGTTGGAAAGATAGACTGCCTTTTCCTTTCCTGTCCCTTCTAATTTTCTACATAATGTAAAGGAGAAGTCTATTGCAATTAAAATTGTTGGTGTGCGAAAGGTGAGTGCTTATTATAATTTTTTTTTTGAAATTCATCTTTACGCTGGAGTGTGAGGATCAATCTCAAGTTGCAGTTGTTAGCAGAAAAGGAAAGTCGTCTGTTAATTTCTCCTATTTTTGCCAATGCTCACATTTTTGTAAATGCTCAGCTTTTATTTTCTGAAAAACTCCATAATCACCGTTAGTGATTAAGATTGAATTTTTCGTTCGAGATCCATAGTTACTTTGCCTTAATTTCATTTTCTGCTTCCAGTGGCCGTATTTGTGGAATAAAGATCGATATCTGTCAGGTTCAAAGATTTAGAAATTTATCTAACTATCAGGTCACCATGATTTTTAGTTTAACCGTCTTTTTATTTCTGTTTTTCACTCTTTTTATTGAGTCGGTGTTCTCAGTGAGAGTTTTTGCTTATTTTAAGATTTTTTAGTCTTTTTCTACGCATGTGTAGCAGTCAAATGCCAATACTGAGCCTTCTTAGCGCAAAAATTCGGACAAATTCCAGGGTTTTCTGTTGCACAGAAGAGTCATTTCTTCTCCTTTGTCATCGAAAAAATGGCTCCATCTGGCACCAGGTCAGACAGCGACGACGAGCACACAAGGGGCAGCTGGCAGCTGAAACCTTGACATGGTGACGGGACCATGCCGCGACCCATTCACCTTCTTAATCTCCCTTTGTTCCTGGCGCCCCGGCGAGCCAGACGTTTGCATAAAATCATGTAATCCACATTTGGCAACCTGCCATAAAACATTTATTGCTGACTGTCGTTGGCCGTTAGATCGCCAAGAGTACGGCGATGTTTGACTTTGAATGGTCTAGAACCGTTGTTTACTGACGCGTTGTTGTTGTTTATGCGTCAGTTACCGGGTGAACCGCACGTTAAGCAGTCAAATTTTGAATCGCTTAGCCAGCAAAAAAACAATCGTGAACGACTCATCTCGTTCCTGGCTAAAGATAGTTATCTTAGACCAGTTCAGTTGGGGGTTATCGATGACGCAAGTAAGGTTTTTTTTCTCACACCGTTCACTTTCATTTTCACTTTCATGGCGTTTCAAAGGAGGAAAAAAAGCAAATTTTGAGTCAAGGTAGCAGTCAGGTACTCTCATTTGGAGCAGGAAAGCTCCTCATT